TAGACAAACACAAAAAGTTGAAAACATTTTAAAATCCAAAAGACTTGTGTTTTATCATGAAATTTCAAATGGGAGGTAATACAGAAATATTTGGGTTGAAAATTATACATATTTAGTTTTTAAGTTTAGGTATCCTGACACTTCTTTTTTTAAACATTTTGCTTGGACCTAAGTGTTTGAATTAAAAAAAAAAACTACTGTAATTTGTTTTAACAAGAAATTTTTAAATTTTCTTTTATCATCTTCAACGGCATTTTTATTTTTAATATTTATCAAAATATTATATGTTTTTTTTTACTTAATTTTGCCTTTCAAAACCCTACATATTTTATTCTATAACTAAAATATCTAAAAATATTCTGATAATTTTTTTTATGAAGAGAATTATCAATTTATGAACACACCACCAAAGCTAAATGAGCAGCTGTGTTTAGAACCATTTTTCAAATACAACGATTTATCATCGCTTTCAAATTGGACCCCCCCCCCTCAATGTCCCACCCAACCATAGCTTACCCTATTTAACTTTTGACTTTTATTATTATTTCTTGAATTATGCGGAAACACTGAGTAGAATAAATTAACCAACGATATTATTCATAATATTATAATGTAGTCTTGACATTTGTTCGTGTGCATTTAAAACGACGCAAAACACATAAATAAAAATACTTAAATTTAACGTTTCCTAATGATATTCCAGTGGATATTTCCAAAATCGGATAGAATAAAAGAGACTTTGGTAAATTATAGCGGAGATAAAGGTAATAATATGACAAGAATAGTGAACATGGCCTCCGGGTATAAAATAACTAGAAGCCTGAAGAAAAAAAAAAGGAAAAATATTCAAAAAGAAAGTGGTAGAAATGACAAAGGAGATTGTTAAAAAAGATAAGCCGATATCAAGGGAGAAACAATTCAAAAACCAAATACACCGCATGCGAATAAACAGAAAGACCAATCGTCGTGCATAGCATTACTTGATCGTTTTAACTGTCGAACTCCACGAAATATGGCTTCACTATAATAAAATTCGATGATATGTATGACCCAATTCACATGGACACATAAACGTATTCGTATATACATAATTTAATACGTTTTATTTTCTCGTAAAACGTATCGTGTACAAACATTGTACAATTCATACCGCTAATTATACGGTTCGAATATTTCCTTGATTGATTTATGTAAATATTTAACATTAATAGCAAATGAAAAAAAAAAAAAAGTTACAAAACGAAAAAATGAAAACTCGAACGTTAACGTCCGTTTATGTGCGTGCGTGTGCGTGAGTATCAAGTTTGCGTAAATACTAGTAGATGCATAATTGTATGCATAATATTCGCCGAGTGAAGTGTATTCGGAAAAATCGCGGTACTTAAACGCAGTACACTGTAGCGATTCCCTAGAGAGGTATAACCGGATAATTATTCTCCGTTGTACAGTACTCAAATTTAAACCGCCATCGAATCATCGCATTTGAATTGTCGATAATGTTCACCGGATTCGATCATTTCGATTTCAAGAGCCGCACGATGCGGTTTGCGTATTTAATTTAGTGAATTCATATCACGACGCACGTGCGTGCACTGTACGTGGTGAGTGAACATAATTAACATTACAATTATTTCACGTGTTCACATCAAATAACTGTATCGGCGCCCGCTATACTTTAACGGGTCCGTATTGGCTCCGGGCTTGTGACATTGCCATCAATTCAGTGACCGTTTTGCTTCCCATTACGATAAACATTTTTTTTTTGATTCCCAATGAAACTTGCAGTTTTTTTTTTTACTACGTTTGTGCCAACCACTTTGATAACTCACGGTTTCCCTCGTACATGTGGGCTAATATGTCGAGTATAAGATTTTTCCTCGGAAAGAACGATTGATCCGTAAAAATAAATCACATGCAGTCGAACTCTTATTTAATGGACTTGTCGGTTGTTCGAAGAAAAACATTCGCGAATTATAAATCTCATCGGAAAGAATTACAAAATACATAACTAAAAAAAAAAAAATCGTTGTTACCATACGAAATGAGTTAAAAATATGTGATAAATTTATTAATGGCGTGAAATAATAATGATAGATTTTTGTAAGCTTATAGAATATGTATTTCGTAAATAAATCATTTCTATTATTATTTCTTCGAAGTACTTTTTGAAAAAATATTTTGCTATTGAATACTTCGGAATACAAACTATAATTGTACGAGTATAATTATAATAAATGAGTGTAAAATCGATTCCGGAAAGAGTTTTTAATGAAAATGCGATAGTTTCGTTAAAGTTCGTTACGTAGAGAGTTCTGTTCGATAAAAGTTAAACTGTATAAAGTGATTAAAATGGTACGGAATAATGCAGATCGCGCTGTACGTTGATATCGGTTTTAATTGATTGCGATTTTGTTTCTACGGTCCGATGGTATAGCGTGTGCACTCCGCTCGTGAATAAAATCGATCCAAGACCGTTTATTGTGCATGCCTCGTTGAAACCATTAAAGTTTTCTCTCGCTATTTTCATGTATATTCACTTAAGTATGACGGTGGTTATTTTCTTGTACTGCGGTGAATGCGGTTTCTTCTCCGTTCCGTATTGCGTCGTACGTTGCTGACCGTATATGTGTCGTATCGCCCCGGCAGGTCGAGAGGCATTGTCCGTTTCCAAACGACTACGGTGCCAAATAATGTGCACACCTCACGCGTGTGATAGCCAAACACGCGAAAAATCGGTTAATAATTATAATTATTTGTCGTGCTTAAACTTCACACCATACAGAGTTCATGTACTGTGTACACTGTACACGTATTAATTGTAACCGTTCAAGTGAATTACTGTGTGGAGGTATATTGTATTTATTCCACGTTCATCTTTTTTACGTATAAACCGTTTATAGTTATGATCTGCTGCTAACCGTTCCGCACCCGACTATTTTTGTCGAGCACATGCATCGTCGTTTACATTTTAAAAACATCAGAACGATTTTGTTCGGATTTCGACGACGAACATTGTACACTTTACGTGTGCACCAACTTTTTTTCCGAGTGTCGGAGATAAGCGAACAATATTATATTATCCTTATCACCTTCGGAATGGAAACATTACTGTTATTACCAGGGCTCGGAAGTTGTAACACTAAAAATATTACTTTTTAGCTCTTAATTAGCACTTAAAAACTCTAAAATATGCGCTATAAATGGCACGAAAAATTAAAAAATATGCATTTAACTTGAAAAAATTATAAATTTATTGGAAAAAAATTAAATGTAATTTTACAAATTTTTGAGTTCATAGACACAGTCTGGACTGGTTTAATTACAAACTGTTAAAAAAATGTTAAATTACTTAAATATATTTGTAGAAATGTACTGATTATTAAATTATTTAATATATTTACTTTGGAAATTATCCCGAATTATTAAAATGTTTGTTAATATAATGCAATGATATAATGAGGGAATAACAATGACATCACTAACTATTAATACATCAAATTGTCGAAAAAAATTAGAAAAAATATTTGATTTGGTCTATTTATTTCCTATAATTCAAATATTTCTAAAAATATAACCAATTAAATACAATTATTATCAACAAAATGTGATTATTTCCTATTTTATATGAAAATATACCCGAAAATAGCGAAATTAAATTTTGTGTATAACCTGATTATAAGTATTTAATATGTTTTTAAAAAATGTAAGTTAAACAATAGTATTTTAACTCTTAAATTTATTATTTGATCCAAAAAATAGTACACCGTACAGATAATAAGGTGTGCAACAGATGGCAGCTCTAAAGGGACAAAAAAATTGTTCGTTGTTCTTAAACATCGATTGTTTTTCACTAATACATGGAACACATCGATATTTTTAAAAATCGATGTTTAAACAATTTTGCTCATCCCTAATAAACAGACTCGTGCAAAGAAGCTCATAAATTTTAGAAATCTATGTGTCTGTAGTCGAGCTGCTATTTTAACTATAAGTATTTATGTTCACTCGTAGCTCACTGATATGAATAAATAATAATACTGTGACGTCGGTGACAACATATTATAAATTGAATGACAGCGGATATGCAGTGCATATTACGCATCGAAATTTAATGATGATAATGCGTTTTTTTGTAGTCATTTATACTTGAATATTGTAACAATTTAAAATATTAAATCTTATCAGTGCCTGAAATTTGCGTATATTGCTACTGTACATCAAATTACACACATTAAAATATTTTAAAATAATGAACCAATTAGTGCACTTATGACTTCGTTGCATGATTGCTATTGGTTACAATAAATACAATCTAAGACAAACTTCTATTCTTGGAAAGTAGAATTATATTTATTATAATGTTATATCATAAATCAATATAAATCAATATTAATTGTCAAACAATTTTGTCCATCCCTAGTTTGCACAGTTTCGTTCAAATGTTTATTTCAAAAGAAGTCATACTAAATGATTGTTGTGATTACGCATATTATATAGGTACTTATCGTGGTAGTGCATATTTTAAAATTTCCATAATAATGTTTCTGAGTTAATAATTAAAATTTAAATAAAAATAAATGTAATATCAGTGTAATTATTATAGCGTAATATACGATTTATTAATTAAAATAATTTCATCATTAGTTTCCATAACCATTTACTTTGGTCCTTGGTTATTGTTGATGTTCAGTTTAGTGTATCGATTAATTTGTTCATTTATGTTATTATTTTCTTGTGATGCGTAGTAGTGCGTTACGTATCCGCGGTCGAGTTGGGGGCAGTTTCCCGAAAAATGATAAGGACCGGCAGTGGCGTATTTAAGGTTTTTCCGCCTATAGGCACTTTCCAATTTGCCACCTCCCCCCCTCCATCATTCCTAAAATTATTTATAAAACATATTTAAATATACAATTTATTATATTATTATATTATATTAAAAAATATACATTATTAATGAACATTAAATTACAAACATTAAAACTTTAAATTTTTTTTTCTACTTTTTTCCTCGGCAAATGCATCAATTAAATCATCACAATTTAAAGTCGACAGTAAATCCGCTTCGATATTCAATATAGCTAAACTATTGCGTTTTTCACTGCCCATAGTCGATCTTAAATAATTTTTGATTCGTTTAAGACATGAAAAAGAACGCTTAGTAGTACAGTTAGAAATTGGAGTACAAACATATATTCTAAGTGCTATATCTATATTAGGATACACGTCCGTAAGAGAATCTTCTCGTAATAATTTACACATTTGTAGAGGAGAAATGCAATTAATTTGTTTATTTGAAGATTCCAAATTTAAAATGTATACATTCTGTTGAAAATGCTTTTTCAATATCATCTTTGTAACATTCTTGTAACTTATTGGCAAATTCTATTATTTCCGAAACACTTAAAGAAATAAGCTTGTGGAGTACGATAAATTTTGTGTAGTAAAAATCATAAGCCTGTCGCCGTTTTTCTAATTCACCTGCTATTCGATCAATAACCACATAAAATGTAAATATTTTAAACTTTTCACGACCATTCATTGATGTATTAGTATCGCTTTTTTCATCATAAAATACTTTCCTTTTTTTTAGACGGGACTTTGCATCTTAATATAATTCAATTCCTACCATAGTTTTTGCTTGTTCTTCAAAATAGTCAAATCTATCCCGAGTTTCTCGAATAAGATTAATAAGCGATGTATATAACTTTGAAGCAGTACCAATATCAATTGCAGTACCTTGTAAAGTTTTGTTAGTTATATTAAACTGTTCTAATACATATGTCCAAAACACGGTCAAAAATGCGGTTTCCAAAGATTGTAAACTTTTAAAAAGACCTTTGGCTTCGTTTCTGGTAATGCATTTTTCGTTTTCATTATTCTTAATAAGTGATAATGAGTTTATTATTTCTGACCATGATGCATTTAAAGCTCTACATGCATCCGCGCGAGTCGACCATCTAGTTATTGATAAGGATTTAAGTGTGTATGAATTTTGCTTCATATTGTCGTGTAAAATATTCCATTTATGAGTAGATGCTGTGAAAAAATTGTAAAGTTGTTGAATAAGTCCAAAAAATGAAGATGCATCACTACAACATTCTGCGGCAGATGTTCCTACTAGATTTAAAGAGTGTGCAGCGCATGGTACAAAATAGGCTAAGGGGTTTAATACTTTTATTCGGGCCTGCAAACCTGTATAAATGCCGGACAAATTGCTGGCGTTATCGTATGCCTGTCCTCGACAATTAGCAATATCAATGTTATGAACCTTTAAAATATTTAAAATAGCATCTACTAATTGTTCAGCTTTGTGTCCTGTATTAGGAGTGAAACATAAAAAACGTTCAATAGGTTCGCCGTTATGCTGTACATATCTCACCATAAAAGAAAGTTGGTCGACATGAGAGATATCTGGGGTAGAATCTACGCTTATTGAAAAGTATTTAGATTTCATTAACTCTTGTATTATAGTATTTTTCATTTTTTTCGTAATTAATTGTATAAACTCGTCACAAATACCGTGTGATAAATAAGAAGTTGTACCGTTTCCTTTATTACTAAAACGTGCAATATGATCTGCTAAAAATGAATCGAATTGAGCTAATAATTTTAAAGACATCATATAGTTTCCATTTTGATTAGAACCAAAAATAGAATTATGACCACGTTACGGTAATCCACGAGAAATTAGTGATTTTATTGTAGCAACTACCCTTTTCAAAACATTTCTTCAGTATATAGTCTCTTCCTATAGTTGTAGTACTAAACTGTTATCAATTTTTCCGAGTTCTTTACCTCGCAATTTTAATGTTATAATTGAATTTTTATGTTCTTGACTATTTTCATGCCAATTGAAACGCTGATTGGCATTTTTCCAGTCATTATAACCCTCTGTTACAAGTTGAATTTTGTTTAAACTTTTTTCAAATAAACGACAAGGCCCACAAAATACTATACCTTTACTTTTGGAATATACAAGCCATGAACGTAATGCAAGTTCACCATTTAACATTTTCCTCTGAAATAACTGTTTTGTTAAATACCGTGTTTTGTCATTATATTTTCGACCGGAATAAGAAAAATCATCGGTTAGATTTTGATTTAAGCCATGTTTTGCTACATAGTTACGAAAAGATTCATTAATTAACCATTTATCGGGATCGGTTTCAAAAAAAATTGGAAGTAAATGTTCGGATTTATTGAAATTTTTTTCTGTGTCTACATTTTTTTCAGAATTATTATCAATAATTGTATTTATTTTAACTTGTTGGGTTTCTACTTCTATTCTTTAACCACTATTCGAATCAGGATTTTTTTTTAAAATACGTATGCAATTTTGAAGTTTTATTTAAAATATTTTTTTCTTTTTCGTTTTTTAATTTCGACAATCTTTTGTACTCATGTCCACTTAATCTTTTCCTACCATCAGCCATTGTTACAACTTATAACCTAGTTTAATTAAAATAAAATCTCTAAGAAAATTTACGTACAAAATAATTTTATAATAATTAAGTTATAAATTCACAAATTACCTGTCGTCAAGATTTAAAAATTATACTGCCCGTGTATCGTCCGTGTGTACCATGTGTCCACTGTCCAACAATTCAGTAATGACTAATGCAGTTTATATAAAATTGAATACCTATTATTATTAAAAGAATTGGAATAAAAGTTAAAGACGGGCGGCTCCATAACGATAAGCGGGTATTTCCCTGTCATTATATAACTATAAACTACGCTGTTTGTTTGTCTTTACCAAACCCGTATTGAATGCGCGTATGTTTTGTTATCTATGTGCTCGTACTGTGTTGCGTATGTGTATAATATAGTAGGTACATGTAGTTAGATGTTTAATTTTGTGCGAACAAAAAATAGTTATAAGTTTGATTTCATCAAATGAAAAATACTTATTGTAATTTTGTAAAAAATATCGTTAAAATTTGCTGCCCTCCAAATGTTGCCACTCTAGGCCCGGGCCTATAGGGCCTGTGCCTAAATACGCCCCTGAGGACCGGAATCGAAAGACGGCAGCATAAAATGTGTCGCTAACATAAAATTTCAGACCCGAAAACATATCTAAGATTTAATTTTATACATAATTATATGTTACCATAGTTATTTAAAATTTGGTCCTCTTTTGTTGAAAATATACAAACAAACAAATGTAAAAGAATTAAAATTTTTATTGAAAACAGTATAACCTATTAGTATTTTTCCCGCTTTGAAAATCGGGGGATATTGTATAACTTTTATCGATATAAATTATATAATTGGATTTGATAATTTTCGATTTAGTCAGTTGGTACTGCTTTTTCAAATTTCAGACCTTATCATTTCTTATGTCTTAATCATTTTTTGGACAAGTGCCAATCACTCTCCGCGGCCATCGTCGGCAGCGGTGATAAGCCTCCGTGAGCAACTGGCCGGATAAGTAATCGCATTGTTATCGTCGCACGTAAATGTATCCGTTATTGCACGTTTTCAAGTTTTTGTCGGTTATGTTTTTCAGTAAAAGTTAAGTCATGTTCTCAGTGCCACAGAGTTCATTAACTTTGCGTGTTTTTCCGTTTTGTGTAGTAGCACTGAGGCATATTATCTTCATTGTGGTGTCCGATGGCATAGCTTTCATGGTGAATGTCATCAGCACCGCCTCGCTCTCGTCTATGTGTCTTCGTGGTGTGCACATCATTTTTCGTTTCAAGTTTTCGTACGTCCGCTGCTATTTTCATTCAAACCACATTGTTGAGTAGTGTCATTTTCGTTTGTGAATTGACCGTTTGGTAAAGTATCGTTCGAGGCAATCAGATATTATCCAGCGGATTCATTGTTTTTCAGTTTTACTAGCGGTCGCTTTGTGAGTAACATGATTTTCATTCGTTGTGTCATAGCTCAGAGCTGTGGACCTTTGCAGTGTCTTCGTCTGTGGCTGCACTTTGGTGGTTGCACGTTTTAAGTGCTGTGACTTTTATTCGTTATTTGATACACTGTGGTGTGCCGTCGTAGGCAACTCATTATTATTAAACATATTAAATTATTTATTCAGTATTGTGTGCCATGTGGGCCGCATATTGTTTTATTATTTACATTTTGTAGTTGTGCCGCTGTAGGGCCAATTTTTAATATGATTATCATTATTATAGTTTATAGCTGTACCGCTATAGGGCCAAAAAAATACCATTTATATCAGCTTTTATTGTGTACCGTGTGGGCCATATATTTAATTATTATACATTTTGTAGTTGTGCTGCGGTAAGGCCAATCTGGAATTATATCATATCTATATTATTATTATCCATTATATTTATTTATATTTATTTATATTTACTTATTTATTGCATTGTGTTAACCAGGCAACATAATATATTTTATTATTACAGTAATTATTATTAATAAACTAGAAACATTTAACTTATAATATTTAATCATTCTTTTATATAATCTCATTGAATTTTTTATAATTATTTATTTTTATTCACACAGTATACTATTTCTTTTCTTAGTTGTTAAGGCATTCTTATTTTTATTATAAAAGCTGATAGTAGCGACAGTTGTAAACTAGATTTTTATGTGATTAAACTGTAATTCATTAAAATTATATAAATATAGATTTTTGAACAAAATCTATATATTGGCCATTTAAAAAAAATGCAAGTCTCAATTATATTATTATACATTTTTACTTATTCTTACATATAATGGAAAAGAAAAACCAATCTCTTCTTGGAATTATTTTTCACAAGTTATTACTCTCGGAACATTAAAACATGCTACGCCTATGCACCAAAAATCTAATGAATTTCCTTTAAAAAAAAAAAAAAAATACTTCCATAGCTATATAAACAATATGGTTGTTATTTTTTTTAATTAAAAAAGCGATTTATAATTATATATAAAAGACAAAGTTTTTGAAGATTTTTTTTCCTAAAAGGAAGATAATAGTTATAAAGAACCTATAGAGTTTAAATACTTATTTAAACGGCTACTTAAATAGAAAATATTAACATTATTTTAAAAGAGAAAAAATAAAATTTTAAATAAGTAAAAATCTTTGGCATCAAAAACATAATGTTCCCTTTAATTATAAAACTTTTTTTTTCTATCGAAAAATGTCGACACAAAGAAGGCCAAGGTGCATACGACTTTCACCGCTTTTTTCTTAATGAAACATTATTTTTTAAAAATGCATTTAACCTTATTTTAAACTGTTGTCTTCTTTTTAATCGTGTTTTTTTTTCAATATTATCTGAAATCAAACAAAACCTCGAATTCTTTACAATATTGAATATATTATCATTGTTAACACGTTCTATTATATTTAATTTGCTTTGACGTTAAACGAACACATTATACAACGATAGTTTTATCGTAAAAAAAAAATGGTATTTCATTTAAATTATATAATATTGACGAACACTGAAAAACATTTAACACCGTACAATGTCTCACAGAATCCTTTTGTATCTCTGATAATCGTGTGGCGAACTTGAATGATGCGATCGCCAAGGTTGTCAAAATTCTCGAAGTACAATGTCGAGTGTACAGGATTTTTTTATTCGATTAAATTCAGAAAATCAGTTCAAGAATGTTAATTTAATTGTTTTGTATGATAATTAATTAAATTCATATTTCAGGTACTAATGAAATTATCTAGTGATAAATTTACAAAATAAATTTGACTAGTAATCAAGTTTTTTTTATGAGAATCTTAGTGTTCAGAAAATGGTAAATATGTTGAAATTTTCGTGTAAAGAAAATTAAAAAAAAAAAAAAGATAAATAATTTGAGTTATTTTAAAATTAGTAAACTATTATTTAAATATGAATAACAATTCATATTACGTTTTAGTGTTTGCTAAAGAAATACTGTATAGAATATTTGAGTGAGAGTAGTGTACTCACCATTTGTTGGTTTTCGTATTGTTTATAGAGTTAGGTACATTTTAAACCATTTATAAATTATTGGCCTAATATGATTAATTTTAGTAATTAATGTAATGTTATAAATATATATATATATATATATATATATATTAAGACATTGAAAATCTAAAAATGATTCCTCTAATCCATTTTGTTCGTTATGTACATTTATAACTAGACTAAAACGCTGATAACTATATTTAGTGGAATCAGAATCTAATATTCAAACAGTAGAATTTTGTCAACTGTGAATGATTAAAAGTAAAATTTTTATATAATCAATGAAGAATCATTTGCGTTCTTTGGTTTAAACCATTTAAAGCGGTCTACCAAATAAAATATATTATATTCATAGGTATTCAATGATTGTAGAATTATTTTATTTAAGACTTGGTATTAATATTCTAAAAATAACCTATTGGAAATAAGTTCTAACGGTAATGTACAACATTATAATTATAATACAAAAATCTAATGATATTACTATATTATAAAAGTGTGCCCATTTTTGTAAATTTATAATTCTAATGAAAACGATTACATATTATTTATACAGTTATAATACATAAATATATACAAGTAATAAACTTTTTGAATGCATTTTGATTTGATTACTTTACATCACAATATGTTCTTCGTATATTACTATCAAAGTTATATATTCAAACAGGGACGTATTTAAGAAGAGTTTTGGAAATGTCCATAGCACTCTCCTGAAATATTTAAAGAAGTGGAAAATTGTGACGATAATACTTAATAAAAATAAATAGATTATATTACAAAAGAGAATTTCGTATTATCAAAGGAAAACAATGCAACAGTGATGAATAAATACAATTATATGAAAAATAAATGTAATATTATGAAATTATTTATGATGTTTAGTAACGTATAAAATTAAAGTCTTTTTAATTGTATTTTATTTTACTTGGTATTTTATTGGGGCATAAGTATTGGTTTAATCTTGATTTATATGGAGATGGGACATTCAGACCAAAGGGAACCACAAATTATTCTTATAAAAGACAATTTTCTATAACTTTAGGTAATTAAAATTTAACTTTTATTTTGGATTTTATATTAAATACAAATA